GCTGCGCAAACGCTAATCAATGATTAATCGGCCATCAATAAGCAGTAACGAAGCGCGTTGTGCAATTAGATGATTGCGAAGCGCGCGGCGCGATGGCTAGTCAATGATTAAGCGCACGGCGCAATCGGTAAGCGCTGATGCAGCGTGTTGTGCGGTCAATGATCAATGGTGGAGCCCCTCCGGCGATCAATAATCAATGAATATTGCGCGTAAGTGCAATCGATAAGCAATAACGAAGCGCGTTGTGCAATTAGATGATTGCGAAGCGCGCGGCGCGATGGCTAGTCAATGATTAAGCGCGCGGCACAATCGATAAGCGCTGATGCAGCACGTTGTGCGGTCAATAATCGACGGTGGAGCCCCTCGGGCGATCAATAATCGATGGTTATTGTGCCTACGTGCAATCAATAAGCAATAACGAAGCGCGTTGTGCAATTAGGTGATTGTGAAGCACGTGTTGCAACGACTAGTCAATGATTAAGCGCGTGGCGCAATCGGTAAGTGCTGATGCGGCACGCTGTGCGGTCAATAATTGGCAGTGGAGCCCCTTGGGCGATCAATAATCAATGAATATTGCGCATAAGTGCAATCAATAAGCAATAACGAAGTGTGTTGTGCAATTAGGTGATTGCGAAGCGCATGGTGCACCGACTAGTCAATGATTAAGTACGCGGTGCAATTGATAAGCACTGATGCAGCGTGTTGTGCGGTCAATCAACGATGAAGCACATCAGGCAATCAATAATCAATGATTATTGTGCCTACGTGCAATCAATAAGCAATAACGAAGCGCGTTGTGCAATTAGATGATTGCGAAGCGCACGGCGCGATGGCTAGTCAATGATTAAGCGCGCGGCGCAATCCATAAGCGCTGATGCAGCACGTTGTGCTGCAATAATCAATGACGAAGCATGTCAGGCAATCGATAATCAATGGTTATCGTGTGTATGTGTAATCAATAAGCAATAACGAAGCGCATCGTGCAGTTAGATGATTGCGAAGCGCGCGGCACGATGGCTAGTCAATGATGAAGCGCGCGGCGCAATCGATAAGCGCTGATGCAGCGTGTTGTGTGGTCAATGATTGATGGCGAAGCATGTCAGGCAATCAATAATCAATGATTACTGTGCCTACGTGCACTCAATAAGCAATAACGAAGCGCGTCGTGCAATTAATAGTCGCTAACGGAGAATGTCATGCGGTTATCGGCGATTTCCAGGCGGCGACGCAACGTCGCCCGCCTAACGCCCGACCAGCGAGCGCCCC